AATTCTATGGGCTATGACATTACTGACCCTTAGCAATATGGAAATGCTTCCATTAACTTTCCAAACCCTAAGAGTACTGTTCTCCTACACTGATTAATTAATGTTTTGTTCCCAGATTTGTCAAGTTCAGCTGTTTTTTTTTGCAGAGATCATGCTCTATAAGCAGTTCTTTTGCTATGTGGGTAATATCCCTCCTGTCAGTAGCCCTGGGAGCAGTGTGTTTGACCACTCCAAATTTCCTTTTTCAGACTGAACTTAACCATATCAGAATCCACACCTTTCCAGAGCAGTAAGCCCATGGTGCTCCTGCTCTGCCTGTATCATCATTCAACTCATGTCATTTCTTAGGTTTTTTTAAGTTTCTGCTTTTCCTGTAAAACTGCAGACAATTAACTTGACAAGACAGGTGGTGATCATCTATGGTGCCTATAGAAATTTTGCACACCATACTCCCTGACATGAAATATGGGCTATTTCTGTTGGTACAGCAATGCTTGCACCAGTATCTTTTTGTTGGTTGTGTCAGGGAGTAAAGACTGAATAATTCTAAATTCTTTTATTTCTTTCAAGTAAAGTAAAAGGATTTTCAGCAGATGTGCTGGAAATGTCAGTTTGAGGTGGGGTTTTTTTGGCAACTTCTGTTGAGAAATGCTGAGAAGTTTTTTGCTCATTAAGGATTAATACATGCTTCTAATAAATTACAGAAAATGCTCTGTGATCTGAATTGTACAAGACTGGTTAGAAGATGTCAATCCAGTTTCTGTAAGACTTGCTTTCTCCTGAAGGGCTTTCACAAGACCTGCTGGTGAAGCCATCGTGGTGTCCTTGGTGGGACCAGTGGTAGTGGGCACAGACCCAGGGGTGAGCCCTGCCAAGCCAGGCTTGTGCTGCTGGCTTTGTGGAAAAGAAAGTAGGCCAGAAATCAGAGGTTGTTCCCTTGCTCTGTAGAAAGCAGAAGAGTGACTCACTCCGTGTCTAGATGCAGAGTGTGCATATGTGATGTCTGTATGGCTTGAATTTATGTTCAATGGCTTCAGTGGAGCCAGAACATCCATCAAGGGTGACAAAGCAAGAACAATCTCATCCTCTACTTCAGTCAAAACAAAGAAGTGACACTCTTTTCTTGCCCCTTGGTGATGGTGGAAAGGGGAAGTAATTTGAGTAGATGCCTTTAAAACAGTTGCTTTTGCTGTGGGTCTGGTACAGAGCACCCCAACACTGCAGCAGTGAAGGTAGAATATGACATTCAAAGGAGTGCTGTCCCACCACAGAAAGCAGAAGCTTGCTTTAAATGAAGTTGAAAATAAAGTTTATGCTATAAAGAGTTTCTGCACATTGGTCAGGGTCCTGGCATGCAGATGTCTGGCTGGAGGGAGCACAAGGGTTTGGTGTTAGTCTCCAAGGCCCTCCCTGGGGCTGGCAGGGTTAGCATGGCCATCGGGCGTCTCGTCCTTGGTCTTGGGTGTGTTTCTCAAGAGATCTCAAGCCCAGGAGAGAACATGCCCCTCTGCAGCACAGGATCTCATGGTGGGGTGTGGGGGTTTGAAAATTTGTAGATCTGAAAGAACCTGGAAATAATTTCCACAGTTGTCAAAGTAAGGAGGAGAAAGGGGTGGTGGCCCCAAGGAAGTGACAGGGTGGCAGGGATCAGGGAAGGAAGGAAGCCAGCCAGCCAGTGCCTTTATAGACAATGTGTTGGGCTGGTCAGGCACCTGAGCATTGTGTGCCTGCTGGTCCTTTTCAGGCATGGACTGAAGGAAAAGTAGATGTTTGTACCAAGATTTCTGTGCCTTCCCCTTGCTCTGTGCACCCATCCCTGCCCCCATGTTTGCTAAAAACCGGCTGGGGCCGCGTTGTTGCTGCTGTGGTGCCTCTTGCAGAGAAGTGCTGAGAGCTCAGCTAGCTGCTTGCTAAACAGGCAGTTTTGTTCTTCAGGGTTGTTAGTCTGGCACCTTTTCTGCACATTAAATTCACACAACACAGCATTTAAAAAGAAGGGAAGCAGATTCTCTCCATGCCTGGTGCCTAACAGCAGATCTTGCTCTTACATAAACAAAAAGCTTCATGTCTTCTGTTGCGCTGACTCCCTGACTGAGCACAGGGCTCTGCAGTGTGGTGGGCAGATTTTGGCAACAGAAATCTCACTGTGGTGAGATGGGCAGTGATGCTGGCTTATGGAATGGCAACTTGTCAGGGGATCCACGACCAAAGGTGTCCATGGGTCTGGTAGTGGCAGGACCAATGTTTCAGATTTCATAGTGGGAATTACTTGTTCTGAGAATTAATTTGCCTCTTCCTGTTTCCCACTAGGTTCTTAGCCCATCTCCCCAGCTCCTGTGTGCTCCTGTTCTGTGTGTAGCAGCCAGGTTCCTGTCCTCATTCTGCTGTGCTTGCTCCCTGCCAATAAGGACATTTCTCATGGCATGTTCCTGAAGTTTTGGAGACTATTCCCTGCTGTTTGCTCAGCTGAGAGAATGAAGACTCCAACTAGTTTCTGCTCCCTCCCCAGTGGTTTTTGCTTTATGAAGACCCATTACTTTATTAACTCTCGAAACACATTATTGGCTCCTTGGCAAAGAGACTGGGATATGGCAGAACAAACCTGCTGTAAGAGCAGTGCCTTTCCCACTGTGAATACCAATGACCAGTTTAATGGACGGGTCCTCCATCAGTTATTTCTTAATGTCTGGAAAAAGAAAATTAAGTCATCCCCATGCTCCTCAGTCTTTCAGGGACCATACGAAGCAGGGAATGATGAAAAAAACCCTCAACTTACAGCAGACAGATGATAAAGCTCAGCAAGTTTAAGAGCTTTGGGAGGCATCTGGCTCAGCTGCTGGAGTTGCTGGCAGGGGCTGTAGGTCTCACTGCTGTGAGCTGTGTGTGTTCTCTGCCCCAGGAGTACAGGGAGCACAGGGAGGCTGTAAAACCTCTGGATCCAGCTCAAACCCCAGGGCTCACTGGGAATATTTCCACTGCCTTCACTGTAGCTTGGATGAAGTGGTTCAGCCCTGACACAAGTCAGAGCACATGTGGGATGGGTTAGACTTCTAGGGTCTGTATCAGAAATATGTACATTCTTGCTCATGACTGTCATGAAGGGGAGTCAGCAGCTCCCTGGCTGAGCAACAAGTTGGCCCATAAGGATAAAAAGCCAGTGAGAAATTTGTCAAAGAAGCAGCAGTGCAAGAGAGGGATGGTGCTTCCGAAAGGTGTAGGCAGAGGGCTTCCCAGGGCTTCAGGTTGTGCCACCCACACTCATGGGGTGATGAACTTAGACCCATGTCCCCAAACCTCACTTATCTTAACCCATTGCATGTCCCAGGTGGGCTCATGCTGATGATAATGGCTGAGGTGGGGATGCCCCTGGCAGGCACAGATCAGATCTCTGCTCAGATCAGTGTGTGCTGTGGGTGTCCCAGCCTGGGATCAGTCACCTCAGGGCTTACACCAACTACTGTCTTCTGTTGTCACGTGTAAAGGATCTCCCTAGAAACTACCCTGTTTTCCTCGGCAATAAAAATGCAAATTAACCATGTCAGCTCTGTACCCAAAAATAGGATTTCAAAATCATTTCAGAGTTTATGATTCAGTGAGAACTTGAAGACGTGCAGGAGTCTTTCATGATGAGATGCAGAGTTCCCAGCTCATACCCAGATCTGAGCACCAATCAGTGCTTTCTTCCAAAACTTTATAATAGCTGTGTTATTTGTAGTGCTTTTTGACTTGAAAGAGCTTGAAAAAAAATGTTAATGCAACTTCACAAAAGTCTTCTGTTCTTGCTGCCACTGCTGATGGAAAATGGAGATGTGCCTGAGTCTGGCTGGGGTCTGGAGTTGCACTAGCATGAAATTATTCAGTAATTTCTTAAAATATTTGAACATGTGACCATGTCAGGTCATTCATGTGATAGTTTCTCTTTAAAATGATTGGAATTCTTCTGTTCTGAATTCTGTTTTTCTTTAGAATGGTGGACAGGTCAGCATGGAGGGAAGGAGACATCAGTTTCCTCTTCTGCTTTTTAAACTTACCAGGTGAAAAAAACTCCAGTGTGAGCCACAAACTTTTTCCTTCTTGGGGGGAAATGCTGAGCAGGTTCTGAAAATTGAACTGGAAAAAAAAGAGAAAGAAAGAGACCCACCTCTTGATGCTGGGGGGGCTGTGATGGGGTAAAGGGCTTGGCCAGAGGGACTGGGGGTCCCCCAGTGCCATAGGGGCTGAGCACTGGGGGGCTCTGCCTCCACAGCATCCCCCCCAGTGATCCCTTGGAAAAACACTTCACGTGTGCATCAACAGTGATGCATTTCTGGAGTAGTTTTGGGGCTGACTCTCCTGAGTGTTTCTGAGTTCTTTCCTTCTTGGCAACTACCTTGGAGGTATTTTGAGGTACGTAAGCAGTGAGCAGAGCCTGGTGCTCTTAAGAAGCCCATTCAGGGGGAACAAATGAGAGCTCCGTACAGTAAATGCCATCCAGAATTACACTGTCATTCTGGACCCAGCAGAATTTGATGGGCCAAGTGATTCATCCATCAAAATAATTTTCCAGAAAATCATGCTAGTGGAAGATTATGCTTTTTATTAAAGGAAAAATACCACTCTTAATGTTCAGTACTTCTTGGCTCTCCTATAAAATTTTGAGCGGAACAGAAACTGTATCTTGCAGGCTTTTTGTGCTTAATTCAAAAGAAAGGAACTGCAGGGTGTAAATTTGTAGGATAAATTTTTATCCTGATGCTGGGGGAAGTTCTTTGGGATTAGTTTCTTCCTTGAACTGTTCAATAGAACAGGGCAGGGTGGATGTTAATAGAACAGGATGAGGCATCCCCAGATTGGGATGTGCTGTTCATCCACAATGGATGCACATCCCAGCCCTGCACTCTCAGGTCCCCTCCCTGCATTCCTGGGTCTCCCCCCCTCAACTCCATGGCCCATGCTGGTCCTGAGTGCTCTTTCTGATTTCTTAAAAAGAAAAAAAAGGAGAAAAAAAAAGCAAAAATGACAATAGAACATGCCCTGGTACAGTAATGACTCAGGTAATGGAGTGCACACTGTGTAGTGAGATCCAGACATTTTAAAAAATACAAATATTTTCCAAACGCTTTCTGGCTTCTTTCATGGGTGCTGGGAACATCAGTGCTCTGGTTCTGCATCCATGCAGGTCTCCCAGGGGTTCTGGGGGAAGCGGGGCAGCGCGATGAGGAGGAGGGCGATGCCGCAGACGAAGAGCAGGACGAAGGCGGCGCAGGCACAGGCGAAGGACCAGGAGTAGCTGTACTCTATCCAGACTGTCTCCTCACTGTCAATCATCCTCTTCACGGATTGTCTCATGACTTCCACGGAGATGATGATGCAGAGACCTGAAGGGAAGACAGAAGCAGTGGGCTGAGTAACTGGCTGTCAATTTTTCACCCTTAATTAACCCCCTCATCTGTCTTTTTTGCGAGCAGGAGCTGCAGGGGGTTGCACAGGCGAGTCGGTGGCTTCAGGGGCTGAGGGAACCAACTTTCTCCACTGCTTGGAGCTCTGCCATGACCCAGGCAGCCAAGTCAGCTGGTGGCTTGTTGAGTGTGGTTTTTAGACAGGGTTGGATGGGAAGCTCAAAGTGGTGGAGGAATAATTGCATTCTCTAGGGAGCTTCTCCAAACGGTGTGTGACGTTGGTATTGAAGGTGACAATGTGCACCTCTGTCTTTCAGTCATTGTGGCATGTCAAATATTCCTAGCTTTTGTAAACATGCAGTCTGCATGGTTTTGGGAGACAGCTCTGTATTTTGGGCCTGGATGAGCTGTTTCTTTGGTTTGACTCTTAACTGAATATGTCAGAAGTACCCCTTTTAAAGGTAGTTGGAGAAAATACAGAGAAGCTGCTAGCTAGGGAGAAAATGCTGCTTCCAGGGCATTTTTAGAAGTATCTCCAGCCTCTCAGGAGCTGTGTAAGTTTCTCCCTGTTGTCCTGGGTGCAAGTACATGAGCACTGACTCTCCTACCTGCGAAGGTGTAGAACATGGAGGCAGGCTTCAGCAGATAATCCCTCTTCTTCCTGAAGGACAAGAGGACGCAGATTGTTCCGATGATTGCAAAGGCAACGCTGAAGATGGCAATGGCTGCAGCTGAAATGCTGTATTCTGCCAAAGCAAAACAAACACCAGAAATTGCAAATGCTGCAAATTTCCAGCACGCTCCCATCAGCTGGGGTGACTCTGCAGTAGGTCACGCTGAGAAATGTGTATTCTCCTGCTGCTGGAGAGAGGTGGCTTGGGTGAATTGAGTATTTCCCTCCCATAAAAGCAGGGGCAAGTATTGGCCGTGTATCTTTGGAATGCAAAGGGTATAAAGGCAGAGCAGGAGGGGGAAACACTTTCTGAAAGAGCAAATGGCAGCTGTACTGGCCTGACGAAGCTCTGGCCTAGAGTGGTTTCAGCCTTGCTGTGCAGATGCTACTGTTGAAGCCTTACCAGGCTCCACGCTCACATTTCTTCCATCACTCCACACCCTGCTCTCAGTAAATAAAAGTTTCTGCTGGTTTTATTCCGGGTCTGTATCACAGAGCCCTGGCAAGGCCCCACGCGTGGTGCCGATGCTGTAGCACAGCAGAGAGGCAGCTGTGGGCTCCACAGGCTCCAAATCCACGCAGGCAAAGCAGGCAGGAGGCCAGAGGTGAAGTGTTTGCACAGCAGCTTTTTTGTTTGTGTTTGGTTTTGTTGTTTGTTTGTCTTTTTTTTTCCTTTAAGACCACAATTTCCAGCTCAGTGAAAACCCAGCTTCTTCAGGGCGTAGGATTAAACCCTCTGTAAAACGTCCTGGTTTTATCTAAGCCAGCTCAGATGTGTGCTGGACACTTCCCTCAGCCAAAGCACATTTCGGGGCCTGAATGGAGGGGAAGAATTGCTAATTGAATAATTCAGGCCTTCATTTATGTATTGCCTTGGTTTTCAGCTTAGCTTAATATTTAACACGTGTAGTCATGCATGAACATCACTGTGCCTGGTGATATTTGCCTTTCAAGCCATTAAAAAAAAACCACCTCCCAGGCAAAAATAATGAAGAATTTTTTTGTCTGTTACTAATTAGCTCCCATCAAATCATCACCATTGCTGCGAAAGGGAACAGCAGATCACTCTTTGTTCTCACTGCTTTTGATGCCACTGTTTTATTATGATTTCCTTAATGTTTCTCTTTACCACGTGCTGGAACTGCCTGAAAGGCTTCGTTTCGATGTAAAACCTTTTGCTGTGGCTCAAGCTTTTTCTTTCACTTCAAAGAAAAGGAGGTCTTCATGGTCTGTTTCTGAAATGACTAAGAAGGTATTTGGTACATTTTTAAGATCAGATGGCTGGCTCTGATAATATTTATATAGATGAGCAAAAGCAGGTAGCTCAGATACGGGCTCTTCTAGCCACTGAAAATTCTACACCATTTCTGTTTTAGGAAAATGCTTTTTTAGAAAACCTGTCTGCAGGGTTTTCCACCATGATAACTTCCAATGGAAGCAAAGCAGATTGTTAATATGTTTAATGTAATCATCAGCTCATTTACTCCACAGTAAAATGTGTCGTATGGCAAACTAGAAAGGAACTTGTCCTTAATGAGAGGGCGAGAAAGAGAGGACGGCACGTTAAATGAGTGCTAAAAATATTTGCCTTGATCAGGGACTTCTGAGAAATGTGAATTTTGTCTCTGAAAAACTGCTTTCAAAATCCAGGCTCTGTAAACACTGACTGTGCATGTCTTTGTAGGACCTTGGTTTCTTCCTTCCACTCATCACTCTGGTTTTACATGACTTCCGTATAAAATCATTATAAAGCACAAAATATCTCACGGTCCTCCCAGACCCTCTGCACTTCTTTTCAGAGTCAAGGCTTGGGGTGTGATTTATTAATTTAGATTTTATTAAAGTCATCACCCTTTGATGGCAAAGGGTCAGAGTGTGGCAGATTGTGCCAATGTAGTAAAGTCATTTTGATGCTGAAAAGACTTTTTGCAGGTTTTGTGTCTATTGACATTGTTGTGTATTTGTGGGACAACTTGGAGTAAAATCCCACTTGATGTAGGAGTGTGATCATCTATAACAGTTATTCTCCCCAGGAAGGTGACATTTGACCTTGTTTTTTACATTTTTCCCAGCTGTTGGTATCTGGTATAAAGTCTTTTACTGCTCTCAGTGCAACCAGGATCAAACCCGCATCTTGGGCACCCCCTTTACCTTAGATCCTGTGTGTGCCTCAGGAAAATATTTTTCAGGATCATTCTTACCTTTTTGGGTGGTCACTTCAAATATCTCTGAGCTCTCTCCTGGTGTGAAGTGCTTGAAATAGGAGCAGTTGTGTTCTGAAAGAGAAAGGGAAATATAGTGTGCTTGGAAATCTCTGATAAAACGTGGTAAAACTTAGTTTACTTTTTATTGTTGTATCAAACTTGCTGTGTTTTTAAGGCTCCTTACCCTTGGTAGCACAGAGAAACTGGAGTTGGGCCTGTTTTGTTTGGGAACAGAGGAGTGGCACGTGCATGCCAGCCCAGTGCCATGGACAAGGCTGAACTCTCCTCTGGTACCTTCTGAGGGCTGCTCCCTCCAAGAGCTTTTCACACTGATTGCTCATCAATTTAAAACATGAATTACAAATAATTTTTCTCATTCTGCCTTTGGCCACCACAGGTTCCTACTCTTCAATGTAGCTGTATTTGCTGGTGATGGGACCTGCCCTGCCTGCAGCTGAGCTGGTGTCTCAGCTCACCTCCCCTCACCACTGCCAGCCCATGCTGGGAGGGTCTTTTTGGGCTCCAGAAAGGGAGGTTGAAGTGTCCTCATCCTGGCCTTCTAGTCTCCTGGCTCATCCCTCCTCCAGCTTGCAGTGTGCTGTGTGGGAGGGGGGTCACCACACCATGGGGGACCCCACACCATGGGGGTCCCAGAGATGAGGCTGCTGGATTTGGCTGGAAGGTGCAATGGCAGAGGTGCTGAGCGGTGCCAGCTCTGGTGGCACGTTCTGCTGAGCTGGGCTGGAGAGGACAGGCCCAGTGCCTGCCCCAGCACCCCTCCTGCACCTGGCTGGGCTCCATCCCACCAGGAAATCATGCCAAGATGCAGGAAATACAGGCACTGCCTGCAGAGAGGGGTTAACACCTGCATGTCTTGTCCATTGAATAAGGAAGTTGGCACCGATGTCTAGGAGATGCTGGAAGAACATTTGGAAGGACTTTGTGAACCTCTCTGGCATCCAGAACATGCTGCTCCAGCTGATGGGGTAAGCCTGAGCCAGGTCCCATGTGCAGGACCATGCAGGGCTTCTACCTGGGGACACATACTGCTTTTCAGAGGTTATTTACAGCACAATTTTGACTGGCAAGAAGATACCAGAGTAACTGTATGTTAACTGATGGTTCTTGTGGAATTCTTTCTGTCATGTAAATGACAAATTTTGGAGTTTCTGATTCAAGGAGGATTTATTTGCTCTCTCCCAGGAGGTAGGCTGTTGTAAAGCAGCTTTTTTTGGGCCAGTTAGTGGAAGATTCCTTTGGGACACTCTTATCTAGTTAATTTTATAAGCTGACTTTTATTTCCTCTGCAGCTTCTCCTTGCTGGAGACCAGGTTAATGCTCAGCTCTGGCATCTCCTGACCTGTTCTTTATTATCCCTGCAGATGACTGGAGAAAACATATTTGAACTCAGGCCCCTGTGACTGAAGTTGCAAATTCTGAGCCCCTGAGTAGAGATTGTGTGTCCCTGCCAGCAACTGAGAAGTGGCTGAGGCTGAGCATCCAGTCTGGTGATCTCAGTCTGGGGATCCTTTAGCTGCCTTTTAGGGGAGGAAGATCAAACTGAGACACTTCATCTTGGATTGTTTGGTTTTGCTTGTAATTAATTTTCTGAATAGGCTGAACTCAAAGGAGTCCCCATGTGTGCTGACTGTCCAAAGCCCAAGGTGAAGCCATCCCACCATGGGATGGGGGGCACAGCACAACTTTGTGTCCACTGTAGGGGAACCAAACCAGCCCATCTGTGAAGGCTCAGCCGGGGGGGAGCACACAACAACTTCTGGAGATGGACTTGTCTACAGGAAAAGGAGCTGCTTCTGTGTTTGTGGCTAATAGCAAAGCTCTGCCAAGGTGCAGTGAGTGGGGTTATCAGAGAAGTGATAACCACCTCCCTCCTTGAGGGGAGGTGGTTTTGGAAAATGCATTTCTTGTGGAAAAGTATAACTCTGGTATTGGTGAAATTTTATCTTGTTTCAGTTTAAATCAGCTCTTGTGTTCTGCTGAGCTCAAAGTACCTGTTTCAGGCTCCCTGGTATTCAAGAGAACTGAAGCACTTCAGTGCCTCTCTGGTGCTATCATGAATAAGAGAAGAGCCCATTTGTGTCACACCACATTTACATAATGGATAGGATTTAAAATGAATTTTATAATGGATGAAAACTGTGTGAGAATCTTTGTTTCTCCCCACCCCTAATTGCATTATCTCTGCCACAGGGTCACTTCAGACTGCTGATGACAGCAGTCCAGGGGTTCTGTGGTCTTTAAGGCTGACATGAACCTCAGGGTTGTAACGTGGTTTATCACACAATGTCTTCCTCCTCCCAGGTCACCCACCCTTACAGCCCTCCTGGCCCTTTCCCTTCTCTTCAGATCTATCTATCCTGCTGCTAACTGCCCCAGTGCAGGGCAGCAGCTCCCACAGAAATGGGATGCAGCAGAAATGTAATCCGAGTGAGCTGTGGTTGAACCTTGGGGGTTTGCACTATGGAGACCTCATGGGTGAATTCTTGAACCTGAGATGGACACAGGCATGGTTAGAAAAACCTGGATTTTAACGTGAGGTTTCCAGTTGGGTTAAGTCTGGGAGATGGGAGCTGCTGCTGTGATTAGAGGATTTGTTAAGGCGAGAGCTGAGGGGTGGAAAGAACCAGACCTTGAGCTCTGGCCTGACCAGCAAGTCCTGCTGGTAACCCAATTGCTTAAGCACTGCTCTTCTCCAGTTGCTTGAGCTCAGCTCCCCATGCTTACAGGGACCTGTTGAAGCTGCTGGTGGCACAGGCAGGCAGTTGAGCATCCTGCTGCTGCCCAGCGTGCCGGCCCAGGAGAGCACCCCTTGCAGGACACCTGCACTGGGCTTTACAGCAGTGAAACCTGCCCCACTGCCTCCTGACCACAGGTAGGAACATCTCAGCATTCATCTGAATTTGCCTGGTTTTAACAACCATCTCCCTGATCTTTTCATGTCTTACAGCAGGACGCTGAACCCTTTCCAACCTGTCATTGTCCTGGGAAATTGTGAAGCTCTCCCTAAATCACAGCCCTGCTCTGAGCCGGCCAGGCCATCCCCCCAGTTTGCACTGTGCTGAGCTCAAAGCCTAATAAATAATGTTAATAGTGTCATCCATTTCCTCCACGGGGAGTGACTGGTAAATGGTTATTAATGCAGTGATAAATTCTTCTGTTTCTTTTCCAGCCCTGGCAGTAACGTCTGGTTGTGTCTCATGATTTTCAGGAAAACCTGTGCCCGTGTCTGCTCCTTTGCTGCATGTTTGTTCATTCACATTTTCTCGGCTGCTGCAGGTTTCCCAACCCTGGTGTTTCCCTGCTGACATTTCTTCCCAGAAGTGTGAAATCAACCTAACAGGAGCCGTGCGGACACAGCATCGTTCAGCAGCCCGGATCTGGGGGGGCTGCACTGCCCCCCTCCAGCTCCCCTGGTCCCTGCCTGGGTAGAAGGAGCATTTAAATATCGATGGTAGAACTGAGGTGTGGATCTCCTGGAAGCCTCTGATGCTGCTGACGACACAGGATGGCACCCGAATTCTTAAATATCTTTTAAAATTGGAAAAACCACCTCCGGGGAGGGGTGGGTGGCTCAGCCCTTCCCTCTTCCCCCGGCTGCTCCTGGCAGAATGGCAGTACTGGGATGGGATTCAATGGCCCTGCAAGCACATGCTGGTGTCTGTCACGGAGAGGAGCTGCTTCCGTGCCTGCGAATCCACTTTTTGCAGACAGCTGGATATTTATGAGTTTCATATTTACCCCGCAGTGGTGCAATTTTGGTGTTTATCCACCAATTTCTGTTGTTTCTCCTTTTGTGGGAGCTCTCCTCCACGGGTGAGGAAAGGCACACGGGGGGGAAAGTGTTTCTAGGCACGTAAGTACCTTCGAGAGAGACATTAAGCATATGGGTGACATGCTCCCAAATTTGGTTAGAGGCAGATCCAAGTGCTGTGGCTGAGCTCCTCTCTTCAGAACGTGTAATGTGGCCAAAGAGACAAAGACTTGCAGTAATCCAGGGAACACAGAGTAAGCCCAGGCAGTGAGATTTTTCGCAGGGAATTTTTCAAGCCTGTGCTAACACACAGACTGCATTTCAAGCAGCGACTCCACCACGAAGGCAATCCTGTTATTTCTGCTCTGGAAAGCATCCAGGCCCCTGTAAGCCTCCTCAATAAGCAGGGTAGCTCGGGCACGCGGGTGCTGCTGAGTTTGCAATCAACAAAAAAACTAACGAGCTGCTTTTGCCATGAGAATATGAGGGGCTTCCTGGAAAGCTGCTGTGCCTGCCACCCTCCCTGTGCAGACATGTGGGACCAGGCTGGCTTCCCTGAGGGGTGAGGAGGCTTTTTGGAAGTTGGCAAAATGTCCTGCAGGCCCCTCTTCCTCCCTGCCCTGAGGGGTGGCTGCTCCTGAAACACCTGAGACAACCTGGTGCCTGCTGGGAACAGGCTGTGCCTCCAGAGATCTGCAGATCCTGTAGATCCAGCTACGTACGGCTGATCCATAAATCCTCTTTCCTGCCCACAGCCCGGGTGCGGCAGGACCCTGGGCTGATGTCAGCAAGGTTTCCTCCATCCCGGCTTCTCCGGGCTTTCCCCGCTCCCTTCTCCTCCCCACTGCAGGAGACTCGGACGTGGCGACAGACGCAGCAGGAGGGAAGGGAACCAGGTGTGTCTGCAGCCAAACTACCTGTCCCAGGAACACAGCCCCTTCCCCCCCCCACCTCCGCTCCCTTCTCCCCACCACTGCAGGAGACTCGGACGTGGCGACAGACGCAGCAGGAGGGGTGGGAACCAGGTGTGTCTGCAGCCAAACTACCTGTCCCAGGAACACAGACCCGCACTTCCCTTCCTCCCCCCACCTGCCGCTCCCAGCCCAGCCCCCCGTGCCCTCCCCGGGCGCTCACCTACCTCAG